ACTACTGTCAGCTAATGTTTCCACTTAAATTTAATATTACCTCAAATTTTTGTTACCTCAGTATATTCCAGCGTGTATACATACATAAGCAAGAACATTTGACAACAATGTAATTACAAATGTATTTTGTTGCCTGCTGAGCTACCGTATTAAGGATAGTAGGAAAGATATTCTGTGTTTGCTGTCAGGACTTGACTGCTTCCACCTGTCTTGCACCACCCTAAGCACTGAATGCCTCCATAATAATACCTTCCTATTGCATGAGGTTGGGCTGGATTAGTACTTGTGGTTGCTGAGCTTCATTTTTCTGTTATTTCCTGTTTGGACTGGGCACAGAATCTTAATGTTAGGTTGTGTAAAATGTTGAAGGAAATGTTTTGTAATAATATAATCACTGGTGCTGTTAATATTACAAATCAATATTGATATCAATAATATTCAATATTATCAGGTATTACTTTCTGTAATTCTCATTTGTACACCGTTATGTTTTGAATGAACAATGAGTTAAGATAATTAGTATATTTATATTTTGTATGTAAACTGTATCATACAATATGAAGAAAAACAAGAGTTATATTTATGTATGGCAATTTAAATTGCCATACGGGCTTTGAACCAATGCATTTGTGGAAAAATGATATATAAATAAATGTATAACTAAAGTGACTATGATTAATATGAAAAAAATTACCAATCTCAAAAATAGCAAGTTATGTATCCCTAAAATATTTATCTTTCTTCAAACTTAAGCATTTCTATTCCGAGTAGCTATCACAAAGCTCATTTCAATGTTTTTTATTTATCTAACGGAATCAATTCCTGGACTATGACACAAGAAATATACATTTACATACATTCTATTTCTGCCATGAACTCATTGGAGGGCCTCAAACCATATCATCAAACTCAGCTCTTCATGTTTGATTGTGGACTGAAACTAAAGCAGCCTCTTCATAGGTTCTAGCATAAACTAGCAAAAGCCCAGCCTGTAGAACAGTGTATGTAGAGAAAACTTTATGCATATAGATTAATAAGGGTTTTCTTTTTCTTTTAGTACTAAATGGTGTGGCAGAGCTGGTATGTCCAGGGAAGGCTGGAGCACACATATTGCACATACAGTACCATCACTGGCCAGGGGACAAGGGATTGTAGATTAATAATGATAAATTAATGGAACTGGAAAGCATTGAGATTATTTCGGTAGCTACTACAACTAACCAATATCTTTTAAACTATTTTTAATTATATTTTATACCAAATTTTTATGGCTCCTGGGCCCTAAAAGTTACCTCTGTCTTATCTGTCCATCACTGCCATAAGAACAGATTTTTTTTACCCTTGAGCAGTTGTTTAAGATTATCTCTGGGAATAGTTCTTCTTCTCCAATGTCTATGTATGTACATGCAAATTAACACATGCGTTTTAACAGTGGATGCATATTAAAATTGATAGCCTTGAAATGCTTCCACAAATAGTTAACTGTAAATTAATATTTGAGTTAATGTTAATTAAAAATGCTAATGCCCACTTGAAATCAACACTGGAAAGCTCAAAGGTGAACTTTTGAGGTATATATAAAATTTCATTAAATTACTTGAAAATGTCCAAGTTCAAGAAAACTAAGGCTATGTGAGTGTATTGGAGTACCTCCAACAATTACGGTATTAGCTCTGCAGCAATGACTACATTAGTATCTCTGCAGGAAAATCCTGATTAGTAGGCAGTAACATCTTCCAGCTATTAATCGCGGATGTCACTTCACTTCCAAATTCTAAAATAAAATACTGTTAACAGTAAAGCTATTTTAATTTAATGTAACAGGAACAATTCTCTCCTCTTGTAACTAATGCTTTCTCTGTAAATTACTAACTAGACTCTGCTTCTGAGAACATTAAATGTCTGGAGAAGGAAATGCTTTGCAACACCTAGCAACACATATTAAATCTGACCAAAATATTGTACTTTTTATCCCAGAATAATTAGTCTGATTTATTGATAAACTATAAAATTTTATTGGACCATTTAAGATATTTACTGTACTACATTACATGTTAGGTGTTTCCATTAATACTCCTAAATCAGACATATTCAGCTTTAAAGTATTTAATAGTTATAAACAGATTTACCATTCACCAGTTTCAGCATAAATGTGGTAATGGCTTGAACACTGACCTAGAGTTAATTTACTGTGCATAAGTGTTCAGATGTAATATATAGAATATTTAGTAATGGACAAATGATATGCCAGAGTCATTATAGTCATGTTAATGAGCAATTGACTACTGGTCACAGTACACAATTGCACAAGGTATATTAAATTTACCCAGACTGCATTCATTCTTTGACAGACATCTAAGTATATAAACAGAAGCATAGCAAGGATCACCTTTCTGCCAACATCTTTGCTACACAATAGAGAATACAGATTAGACGAATCATTCTAGTGCTAGAAGTCACAGAGGTCAATGGGATGGCAGGGGAGAAAGCATGCCACAGACTTGAAATAACAACATTAAATCTGTCTTTTTACCCTTGTACAATATCAGGAATCTTAAAGAAGATTCTGTTAATTAAAACTATGGTAGTACCTAATACTCTTTATCACTATTGTGACTGTGCCAGATGAATAGACTACAAGTGTGGCCATACTATCTTTCAGGGCCATCATTAAGGATGACAATGATCCTGCAGATACCCAAATTAAGCAGCTCTCAATCTCATTTCAACCATCACAATATTTGTGCTTCCCAAATTCAACTGTTTACAACTGCTTATGTAGCTCTGCTGTTCTCCATTCCTATCTTCAAGAGTTCCTAGGCATAATATTGCATTATGTTCAAAAGGGCAAAGGTAAGGAGGATACATTTGTAGCACTGCTCACCTACCCAATGTGAACTAAGACAAATACCTCTGACAGCCAGTAGGAAGATAACTTCAAGTAACTGCATCCACTTGAATCTGGGGTGAGAAGGAACAACTAAGTAAAGCACAGTATGCAAAATCTCCTGTTTGTTCCAAGATTGTAGTAGCCATATTGAAACATTATCCTTAGTAAGCAATAACAAATCACCTGTAAATTCCAGCAAAAGTATATCTATATGCAGTCATATATCAAAATAAATGAAAATTCAAAACTCTGCCTCAGCTGAACATTTTGCCATTATGTAACACTCTAGTATAGTTTAAAATAATATATAGAATAAATTATGTAAAAGATATAGAGACATGCTTGCAGAACGTAAGATAATATCAGGAGACACATGTCATGTTCCAGTTAGAAAATTCACACAATATTTTAAACTATTTCAGCATATTTGGTCCAACTAGAAAGACTGACTTCAGGATTGAAGAAAGGCTTTAGAGAGAAATTAATCAATGTTAATATTTTGTGCCTTATTTATTAAAAATAACTCAAAGTGGGACCTTTACAATACTACAAGAAATGTGACTGGATTCTGTATTTTGAACTGTAAATGTGCATCTTAAATACAAGCTTCTCTACATTAAAGTCATATGACATTCATGTTACAACGTATTCAATTGTACAGGAAAATAAACATTCTTATCATGCCCATGCCATACTGTGCCAGGTGGTAATTTTGCTAATATACTAATTAGTAGCCATCACCAAAAACAGTTAAAAGCAAGAGTAAAAAAGTTTTGAAAAAAATGTGTATTAATACATGACAGCACACCAAAAGCATATTATAGTAACTGAAAATACTACTTTAAATGAATGTAATTTAAAAGTTGGATAATTTAAGCATTTATTTGACCATATTACAACATCTGAATGTCCTATTTTAGTTTCTACTTGAGAAAAGTAGGTACTATGAGATACTTAACATTTAAAGAGCATCTGCTTTTACCAGAAAAACTTCCAGTATAAGCTAAAATGATACGTAATGCTAATGCACCCCAATTCAGTATCACAGAAAATGTTTTTAAAAGAAACTTGGGCTTCTCATTGTACCTGAGAGCTATCTTTCAGGAAGTGACTGACTTGCATTTAGATGATATTAGTCACACTTTGGACACACTAAAGTCAGTCACTTGAGAATTTAGGTATGACTACCTTGTGTCTCATTGATTTAAAAAACTTAGATTGGATACAACCCACTGTACACATTTCATTACTGTACTAATGTAAACTACAATATAGGTATTTCCAAATGTGTGTGTTAACTACTTAAAACTGAATAGTGTATTGTTAAAACTGGAATATTCTTGCTTAAATAAATATATTTTTAAAAAAACATACAAACCAAATAAAGATGGACTGCTCTAGATCCAATCAACTATATTTTATAAAAGGTGAATATGACAATTGCCCAAAGGAACCCCCAATAAAATGTGCATTTGCATGCCATATAAGGTTGGAGGTTTAATTATGGTTTCAGAATACTTAAAAACTACTTCACTTGAGTATCGCATTCCTCAGAGTGACAAGCAAAAACTAGCTGCATCATTAGCTACAACATTCAATTTTTAAAAAACTGGAACATTAGTCCAATTTTAAACCACATTATAATCCAAGAAACCAGCAAAGCATTGATATTGGAGATAGAAATTGATTTCTTTTTTAAATTAAAAGATTAGAGAACCAATGAGTAAAGTACTTCTGATCAGGCATGGAAATATCTGATCTATTCTTCAGACATCAGATTATATAGTACTAAAACAGTGTTGGAGATAATAAGTCAGTAGTACTGTTTGAGATGGATGTGCAATATCTGCATACAAGCCATTTCCCAGTTTTGGCTATACAACAGCGCAATGAGAAGACTGTTATCAGAATAAATGCAACCATTATTTTTAAACACTTTACCGGCTAATATGTTCTACTAATTGATAAATAATTTCTTAAAAACCATTGCCTTGGGCAAAATTTCATAAAATTTGAAACATGTAAATCCAAATTTGTCTTCAAAGAGTTAACAAAACCAAAGAAACATATATATTCATATAATTTTCTTGAGAAATTTAAAATGTCTTACCTTTCCTGTCTTGTGGTCAAACCAGACAAGTGCATGATTCCTAGATAGGACTTTACAGTCAAAGGTGGCATTATTTTGAGCTGGTCGACATCGAGCCACTGATCGTCCAATTTTGACAGGCTCATCCAGGTAGACATGCCGTTCTTGAAATGGATGAGAGTTCGGGCGGCAAGTAAAGATAGCCAAGGCTGAAGGCATTGAGGATAGATATGTGGTGCCACACCAACCAGGAAAGAAGAGAAACTCTTCTTGATCCAAGCCCCCCTCCACAGTTGATAAGCAGAACTCCCACTGTACTTCACATTAAAGCAGGACAAACATTACCTGCCATCAAGATCTAACAACTCATACCTTCAGTCTGTGAACTAATACAGGCAATAATCCAATAGAGAAGCCCCATTGTTTTCTTTAATAAGGCTTGTAGCAAGTTTAAGAAGTTCCACATTAATCCATCTCCCTCAAAGATGTGAACAAGCATATGATGACTCCAATGAGAAACAAAACTTGTTCAAATTAAGGTGGAGATAGTTATAAATCCAAGTGAATGACTCACACACAAATACTTGTTTGGGATGTATGCGCTCTATTCTCTTCCGTAATCACTGCCTAAGCTTTTCCTCACCAGAGAAACAATAAAAATTTCAGGGAGTGAGACTCAAGAGGTTTACAAGTCAGGGGTAAGAGATAAGTCTGCTGTTCATCTTTTCACACATCAGCGCAGGGTCAGGAATGGGAGGATGCCTAACTAAAAAGCAGGTTCTCCCCTTCACTAGGCAGCACAGGCCCAGACTCCAATTTTCAAGGAGCCAACGGAAGCCCCAGCGCAATCATTAAGGAAATGCAAGTTTTATTTCCCCATACATCTTATTGCAAATACACCTGGCCACATATCTGAGCCACTGAATAACGTGGTCTTCTCAAGTGGAGAGAAACGGACAGAAGGCTAATCAGCCAGATGCCGACGACTGATGAAAGCAGGAGTGTTGGGTCCCTCTACTGAGGGTCTAAACCAACGCAGATAACTTATCGGGAAAAGGGGGGAAACCCATCTGGCGGCCCTCGCTGAGGAGGTCTCGGGGCAAACGACGGCAGAATCTCCTCAGGAAAGAGGGAGGACGAAGGCCGGTGGAACCGCGGGCGTCGATGAGTCGGGACTGCAGGTGGCTGCGAAGGAAGATTTCACTCCCTCCTGAGGCGCCTTTTGCTCGCCTGCTGGAGCTCTGCCCCGCTCCCGCCCAGGGAGAGGCCTGGAGGCCGGACGCCTTCCGAGCGGGGTGTCAGGCGGCCGCCGTCAACGAAAACTTTCCCTCGACCTGTAAAATCAAAACAACCCCGTTCGCCCTTCGGGGCTAAGCCGGGCCCCGGCTCGACCGCCCCTCGCGGGGTTTCTCAGCTCAGTTGAGGCG